TACTAAATGAGCTACATGGACCAAATGGGTTCCTCATAAGTTCTAATGTACTGAAATTAAAAAGTCTAGGCACAACTCTCATAAACAGCATAACCAGACCTCTCTGTCAAGCTCAGGTTATATTTGTGTCCTTATGAGTTCCCCTGGGCAGTTATCCAAAGCAACAGGAACAGCTTCAGCGAAAAAAAACAAAAAACTTTCAAGCCCACACCAGAAAACAGAAGTGAAACGGACAGAGCAGTTGCTTTGTATTTTAACAGTTACATTTTCTGAACTGGCAAGGCCGAGACGTCCCGAAGAGTCAGAGATTCAAGCCCAGGGAGGGAGACTCAAAGTGAGTCTTGGACTCACAGAACAGATGGATGAACCCTTCCAGGGCCTTTTTACTGAGCTCCTAATGAAAAGATGATCTTACTGTTCTTACTGATTTTACTGTTCTTAAGGAATAAAGGTGTTCCTTTCTCTTTCTTGAGAGTAGCATGTTATCATTCTTAAAACATATCTGTCCAATAAAGTTATTGAACTAGTTTTTCTTCCAGTCAGTTAACACCTTTTTAAAAACTGACAATAATGTTAAATCAGCCATTCACTAATGACATGATGATGGCAAAACAAAGATCAATGAACTTGTTTACGCAGAAGAGACCAGCAGAGTCCAATTACACCATTCTGTGATTGTCATGTGGACAAATATCTCCTTGTGTTATGCAAGCCATTGACTACGACTGCCTGATGCCAAAATCATTTATCCTTGCACACATAGAAATATATTGCTGAGTAGACCACAATGTTCACAATGAGGAATCTTCAAATAATAAATGCTTATAATAGATTCAGCATTGTTGCACAACATCACAGTAAATGACAGTAAATACCATTTAGGTTAGTTTTATTTTAGCATAGACACAAAAACAGAAAGAGAAACACCGTATTTCAGCGAAGCTGCAACAGACAGCCACACAGAAAGGAAACTGAAGGGAACCCATGATAAACAGAATTAAGGAACAATTTCTTGTGGAGGAAGAAACTAAAGTGCAGCAGGCAGATGATCATTACGCACAGTCTGTCCTGAGGATACAAGCCCTTCATTGCAAGGGGAAGAAAAATGGGAGCAGTGGAAACGGTTCTCATCTCCTCATGCTAATAATGCATCAAATAAATTCATGCCTGTTTAAAAATGTAAGACGAATTACAAAGGTAATTTGGTCCATCTAGCCAGTTTGGTAGTTAGGTAGTTAGTAGTTAATTGAACCCCGGATCTCATCCAATCGATTCTTGAAAGAGCCTGGGTATTGGCTTCAACAGAATGCCTGAGCAGCTTGCTCCACACTCCCACAACTCCTAGTGTAAAGAAGTGACCGCCCCCTGTTCTCATTGGACTTAGCTTTCACCTGGCTTCGTGTTTGTTTTATCAGTATATATTTCCTACAGTTACTGGAAGGGCAGATACATATAACGTGATGCGTTGTAGATGTGTACAAGTCAGTGCCAGAAAAATCAGAAGATGCACATCAAATAGAATTTCCTGTTTAGTAACGACAGGTATTATGCAGACATTATGGGTGCTGTCGAACGCTTGACAAAATCGTAAATGCAAGATGAAAGTATTCACTTAAAAAACAGAAAAAAAGCATCAGCTGGTTTTAGCATAAGGAGGTTGGGAAGATCAATATTTCAAATGGCTGGCATTACTTAAGTGTAAAGCATGCTCCTGTGTGGGACAGTAGTGAATCTGCCCATTCACCATTTTCCTGCTTTCCAAACCTTGCTTTGCAGTTTTTTATTATGAGAAAAAAGACAGGAATTATCCCTAACTATAGAAATGGTAGAAACTTGTTTAATCCCCGACTAAGTCTTTAATGGTGAATACAGAGTTAGTCTGTTCTTGTGGTGAGAGATGCTTTTTTGGTGCAATCACCAGCTCAGCAAAATCTTCTGTTTAAATACAGGTCACTCAAACCATCTTAACTCACCGTGAGTGGTAAAAAGCTGTGTTAAAAATTGCACTTTGTTGTTTCCCTTGTCTGTCGCTGCGCTTGAGTAAAACGTTGTTGTAAAATGTTGATTTTTTTTAGATTTCAGTGCCATGAAATGGCACCTTGAAGTTTCGATTCATAACCAAAAAATTGCAGACGATAAATGTTAGTCAGAATCCGGGAAACACGAGAACTTCTCATGTACTGTAGTTAGATGGGCAGCTACAGTGCAACTCATTTGACAAGAACGGCCTGTAAACTCTGTCTGTTAGTCTGTTTCAACTGCAGTGAAGTTATAGAAAGAAAAGGTTTTTCCATGAAAAGGTTGGGTGTTGTGCATGATCGGTAAATATATCAAACAGCCCTGAATTTTAATGTATAAATATAATAATAATAAAATAATAATAATAATAATAATGTCTGTTGGTATGGAAGAGAGAATAAAATCAGTTTACGTGGTAAGAGGTTGTATTTGGAGTGCCATACTGTATGTTAAAGCTATAAATTATTACGGAGCTAAATGACCTTCGGTTATGTAATGACACTGCAATAACAAGAAGAAAGCAAGCATTAAACTTCACATGACTGAGCACTTGGACAGCAAAAGGGGAACTGAAAAACAGCCTGTTGGTCTCTAAAGAGTTTGAGTGAAAGCAATAGATTTCGATTGTCTTGAGAAAGGCTGCGTCTTGTGGATTACGTTCGAGACCAGATTTACCTCTGTTGCAGTGGGAGTTCAAATCTAATGGAATAAGTTATTAAAAGCAATAGCTGTCACTAAGGCTGTGGCCATCCATTATGCCACGTTTTACAGAAAACAGAAACCCACCAGCCAGGGAGGTACACTTCTAACAGAGATTCAACAGTCTTGCCAAAACCAGCGACCGAAGAGGAAGAAGTAAAAAAAAAAAAGAGCTACAGCACAAGAATACGTTTTGTTCTCATATTAAGTTTGGGGCCTAAATGTTAACTAGCGGCATGTCCCAGCTTTTGCTTCTTCAGTAGAACTCGTATGAAGATGCACTGTGCCATCGGCTCAGAATAAAACCACAGACATACTAGGCACAGCAAGGGAGCATGCGAAACTGGCAGTGACACAGCGCAGATCAGGAGATTTTCTGCTGGTTTCACGGACACATCCCTTGACCACTCATTGTGTTATTTCAAGTCCCAAGGCCCTAAGGTTTTTCAGCTAGAACACAGGTTTTTTAAAACTATCCATACACAGTAACTTAACCTTAACTATTGAGCCCCACGTCTCCCAGAATTTCATCACTTCTTGAGCTCTTAAAATTCAAGATGGGTGAGAATGTTCTTTTTTCCCCAGAGCTGCCAAACGTCTGTGTGGAAGTATATTGTGTCACCCTCTTGAAATATTTAAAATGAAACAAAAGTCCTGTATAGCTTAACATAACTGTCGTGACTCCCAGGCTCATTGTTTTGCATCTCTTGTCTTTATGTGGTTAGTGTTATGTACTTATCCTAAGTGACAAGGAAAACAAATCAGCACAGAACACAAATCCGGGGACTTAGAAGGGACAGGAACCCTCCCACAATTACAGAACTGGCAGGTGAGCACCTCTGCCCGTCTGACAGCACTGTGGTTAACATCAATCGCAGTGGAATTCACACACAGACAAGTGAGCAATGGCAGATAGTTTTGTCTTTACCTTCCGATGGCTGTAACTGAGGGAGAAATGAATTATGTGTCATGCAGGATAACTGAAAGTTTAGCTCATGGCAGCCCCGGGACCTCCTTCACATCAATGGCTGTCTAGTTTCGGTTTTGAAACTAACCGGAAAGTCATTACGAGCGAAATATATACTGGTGGGTGGCACAGTGGTGCAGAGGTTTGCTTTGCCAGGCAGCGCCGGGGCTCTGGCTGCAGTTTCTGGGGTGCTGTCTGTGTGGAGTTTGTGTGGTCTCCTCGTTTTTGCTTGCATGTCCTCTGGGTGCTCTGATTTCCCCGTACAGCCCAGAGACATACTGGTAGGTTAATTAGGTTGTGCGCGCGTCTGTGCCTGTGTGTGCACTGCAGCGGACTGGCCTCCTGTCCAGCGTGTACCCTGCCCTACCCTGCCCATTGCTTGCTGGGAAAGGCTCCAGCTGCCCCGAACCCTGTACTGGATGATAAAGTGATTAGAAAATGGATGGAACATGGATATTTACTGGTAACACTGTTAAAATGTCCTGTAATTCTTTAACAGTCTATACAAATCAGTGATAATGTTTTTTTTTTCTGGAGTGGTTGCACTTTATTTTAATTTTCAGAGGAAATGATTTTCGACATTATTTTCAGCAGATTGGAACCAGTTCATTGGCAGCTCAGTACAATGCCGTGCTTTTAACATGACCCTCACTAATTTGAAAGCATTATGCGCTCCTCCTGAATTACGAGTGTGGGCACTGAAAAATGGGATAAAACATTTCCCTGATAAATTACTTATAGATTTTCAGTAACTAAAAGCTTTTAAATCTCTTTCCACAGCACACAATTAAACATGGGTTCACACTAAACTGAACATAAAAACAAAATTTTCTATAGAGGAAAGGTACAGTAACACTCTAATTTTTATGAAAAAAGAAATAAAGAAATATGTTGAATACACTACAAACATGTACAGTACTTAGTATGTTTCATTGAAATTTAATTGTATATATCAAACCACATACTGTAGCATCACATTGTAACTATGAATTAAGTATGATAATGTTGCCAAATAAACAATGGAGAAAAAAGTAAGAACAGTCCATCGATTCCAATGAGATGAGTTTAATATGGTAAAACTGAAACTTGAATGAAAGGTGTTGTATTTCCACAGTGGAGAAGGAAAGCAATGAGTTTCACTTCAGCAGGTGCTTGTTTTCTGTAAGTGTCTTTTCCCACAGTAAAGAATATTCAGGTTCACTGTCTCTCTGGAATGCAGAGGCATGATGACAGCCCTGCATCGGCTCGCAATGTCAAAATAACGCAGAATGACGTGGAAGGCATTCGACAAATGGTCTGTTTCTTTTTTCTGCAGCTATCAGGAAACAGCACTTTCTGAAACGCCATCTGCTGCTCTACGCAGGACTTCTTGTTGTGCAAGTTATTCATCATCACGGCAAAGGTCAAAGTTCACGGGGTGTCTGCTTTTCCAGGGGAGCTGGGCAACTGATGCGGAATTTAAAAAGCAAAGCTACGAATACTCCAAGCATGTTTTTCTTTGGTTCTGTACATTTCTGTTCTCTGCTGTGCCATTCCAAGACTGACTAGGGGGGATTTGGAAAATGTTCAACTTGGAACCTCTGGAATCTATAGAGTTTTAAAAAATGGATTTCTAAAATGGTGATGAAAGAAGTACTTTCTTGGCAGTATACCCTTACATACTTACCTCCTTTTCCTTGCTTTAGTTTAATCATATTTTGGACTCCCTTATCAGCAGGCCACTATACGAGCAACAAATCATAATGAAACGTTTTAAAAACAAATTTGTTTCTTGATTCAAGCTTGTGTCTTGGGGTGAAATGGTAGCAATCAAATTAATGCATCCCATTATCTAATTTTCCAATCTGACCAGTGCGAGTCACATAGTTCACTCTTCATCCTGACAGCTACATTTTCTGAATTGGATGTATTCCAGCTCAACTGCCTTCTTCTTTAGGCTTAAATATTTATGGGGTGATTTAGCTGTCTCATCTCAACCTCATTCCTAGCGAAGACAGAAACTATAAGCGTGGGCAGTGTCTGATGAACACACGCAAGTTTTGCTTTAAGGAATAAAGTGAATTTAAGAAAATGAAACAGAATTAATGGGATTTATCTAGATCATGCTGTACATACACATATTAACTGCTTGGATAAATAGTACTGTACTTAGGTTATGTAGAATTGTAGGTATCAACAGAATCTGACTGGAAATCCATATAAGTGAATCTTATTTTATAGGAAGCAAAAACATTGGAGCTTTTCATTAAATCAGCATGTGACTTTTCGAAATGAATAACATTAATTGTGCTGCACTGTACAGTACAACAGAACAGTTGTGTTGCAGAGACAAAAAAACACTAATTAAATTCATGAACAGTACCTGCAGGCACCTCTCTTAGCTTTGTTCAAGTTTCTGACAAACACAGCTCTTTCTTGGATTTATTCCAGTCTGATAGCCTTGTTTTCAATATATTCTAAATATTTATGGAGTGACATAACTATATTAGGCTTATATAGACCTTCTGCTATTCTGTCTTCAACACTGTTAGAGGGGTTTAGTGAACTGCAGGAGAAGTTAAACGTTTCCAAGAAAAGGGACTTATTTCTGGATGGGGGGTGGTTCTGAGACACAGCTGTGTGTTGGATGATGGAGATTTTAATTTCAATTTCAGTACTGCACTAATAAGAAATGAAGCTCACCACACTAACAACTAAACAGAAAGAAATTGAATTCAGCCAATAGGTCAAGATTTACAAAATAATTAAGATCCACTTGGTCTGTTAATGAAAGGGATAGTTTTGGGGGATTCGTGCTGTCTGAATACCAGTGTTGCAATGATCTCAGTTGTGGATTAGCATCAGTCTTTATAAGTCCTTTCAGAGCAATCTTTCTTTTTGACAGAACATTTACAAAATGCATAGTAAATAATTTACCCCAAAACCACAGCAGAAAAAAATGAAAACTGTCCACGATATGTACACATGTGGAGTGGTATGCTATTTCAAGTTCAGCATAACGACACACCCTGTACATTTAATTACAAAATGTCATCACCAAGAACCTTTATTGTGAACAAACAGTTCCGGACCTGATTCTTGTCCTTAGTTCTACTGCGAATCTTCTTGTACAGTTGCCATGCACAATGTTATTATAGTTCAGTGTGAAAACACAACTGTACTTAGTTTTATTTTCAAAGGAATCCAATCACAGCTACAGTACAGCATACCGTATCAAACATCAGCCTGAGAACAAAGATGATTACTGCAGTGTAAGTGTTAAAAGACTCACTGAAGAAATCTTCCAAAATGAAGGGTCTCATTCAGAAGGATACCTTTATTTCAAAGCAATGCGCAGAGACGGTGTGGCGAGGTCCAATAGTCATTTGTGGTTTGTCTGTGGTTGAGGGCTGTTGTGAGAAAGAGGAAAGAGAAATGAAAATGAATATTATTTTTGAACTGCATTTTCAGCAAAATGGTAACTGGGGTATTATAGCAAAAAAGTCAGAAAAGATGTCTGAAAATGTGATGGCTTTTTCTGTTGTAGAATCCACCCACTTCAATTATTTTAATTGTCAATATTCTACAGTTAATTGATGAGAATAACTAATCTTTTATTATCAGGTGTTCAAAGCCATTGTAACAGTACAAACAAGCGCATAGTGCTCTCATCTGTGATGAGAATGTTACTTATTTGTTAACCTGTCAGAAATGTTTGAAATAAATAAATGTCAGAAGTGGATCTTCAAAGGTAGGCTATCCATTTGGTTTCACAGGACAACCAAGATATTATCACCATAAAATAAGACTCATGTCAATAATTAGAGACTTATAACTTGCTTGAATTGAGAAAAAGGTATTATAAACCATCTGACAAAAGGCCTTATTCATTCATACATGTAATAAATACATAAAAATAAGCTCTTGTAGCTCTTTTATAATGGAAATTCATGCCGTACAGAGGTACAGTAGCAGTCTCCTACAGCTGTGTCTTAGCTTCCTTTAAGTTATTTCCTTTAACTGGTCAAACTAGGACAATTTAATCAATGTAGGGTTTAAACCCTGTCATAAATACTACATTTAAAAAACAATTTGCCGTTTCTTGCAGAGTGAAAGAATTCAAAGTGCTTGTTGCCTCAGAGCTCTCCTGATCATCCACCCGCTATGAAAGACATTCAGTTCCGTCTTTGGACTGTGTTGCAGTGGGGTGCCCCAGAGGGAGTGTGAAAGCCTCTGCTGTTTGTGTATGTGCTGTGGTATACAGAAACGATTTCATCCTGGCCACGTTCTACCAGGTAGTAAGAGAACCTGATTTCCTTCTACTTGCAAACCTAAAGTCCACTTTGATACACAAAAATCTTCTCAAAACTTTACACTCTTAATGTTTCAGGCATTCATTAATTGAAAAGTGCTGTTGAATCTGTCATGCAACTCAGTGCCACATCCACCAATACACTAATAAATGAAGTGAAAAGGCTCTTTCCAAACTAAAACCTGATATGTGGACTGAAAGAAAGCTGAGAACATCTTGAGTTAAACGTCAGTCTGCAGTTTTCTAATTTATTATTATATGACCATTTTCAGTATTTATCCCAGAGAAGTGTTTTCCAAGGAAGTATCCACTTTCTGTTATTTCACATATGAAACAGCTGGGGGATTTTGAACTCTTTTCAGACTCTTCAGCTGTTAAGAATTTAGTAGCAAACAATCCAGGGTAGCTAGAAATGTAAATGTTTTCTCTCCCACAGAGCAGTTTTAGATCACTTTTAAATGAGAACTTAAAATGACAAAAGCTTTTTGGAGCTTTGCGAAAATGTTTGGGAAGCTCTGCGCTTTGGCAAACATACATTATACAAGCCTGCAGGTAAAATATTGTCTTTGGCTTCAATGAATTTTACGAGGAGTTGGCCCTACAATCCTGTTCACAGGCCATTGCAATACGTTCTACTTCAGATAATAAGGGAGAAGTTTTCTCCTTCCCCACCCAGCATTTTATTTAGTTACCAGTTCCTTAGAAAAAGAAGAGACACATAAAGACCAAATGTTGGTCCTGAACAGTGTAATGTTTCAAGCATCTATTTAAAGCGCAGTGATTGGACCTCCTGCCCTGTTCCTCTTCCACCCAGTCCGATCGCAGCACTGAGAGCCCGTAGAACTACAAATGTGGATTACTGCTTCTTGCTGCCTCCTGCCCAGTGTAGGAAATTCACCCATCTCCTTGGAATTCAACATTTCAGTGCATTGTACTCAGTGTTTAAAGTATTTTTTATTGTCTGAAAGCACGTGATAAAAGTGACAAGGAAACCCCTGTACTGTAAATAGCAGATTCTTCCCTACTCACGGGTTTCAGAGCTACAGCTACAGCAGGGCCATGAGCAACATGCCCAGAGAGGGACACAGCACTGAGACACTTCCCAGAGAGACAGCTCAGTGACAGAGTCAGGGTTTGAACTGGGATACAATCTAGCAATAACCTGCACACTACACCTGAGTTACTGGGGGGCTTAGTGACTAAGAAACTTCCCCATTAACTCAACTTGGTGTTGGTGTTGTACTGCTCTAGTGAGACCGCTCCTTGAGGAATTTGGGATTGGTTGTAAAAATAGTATATTTGCAAGCCATAATAAAAGACATGGCATGAATTAGAAACCCTTTGGGGTTTATAAAGAATTTGGCATTTTTCTGCAATCACAGGCTTGTAAATCTAACTGTACATGTTTGACATGGATGTACTGTATCAATACAAGTGAAGCAAGGGCGTAGCTGTAGTATAGGCTGCAAAACCAAGCAGATTTTATTTCTTTACCCTCCTACTGAATCCTATGGTTCTGTGAATCTTTATTTCTTCCTCATCTGGAATTCAAGGAAATCAGAAGTTGAACAGAAAAAACTGAATTGATTAACATTTTAAAAACACATTAATTCCCTCACAAACGCAGTTGCCTTTACAAAGCTGAATGCTGATCGATGCAGGAAAACATGCATTCAAATCTTGTAGTGACACAGTAATTAATCTACTGTATAGCTGTTTAATTCTTTACATAAAACATGTTGTCAGCTTGATCCTTTTTTCAGGGTTTTATTAAATGTGTTTCATTAAATGAAAAGGGACTAACCTTTTTGATTTCTACAGACAGAAACCAGATTATATTACCTGGTCTGAGTCAATAATTGAGATCAATTCCTGTGGCCTGTGTTCAAAGATCACAAAGTATGATAACTCGTTTTAACTCTTTTTAACTAATAGTGTGAGCTGCTTTCATCAATATTTGCACAAATTATGCATACAGCAGCCTCCTTCTTATTATGACTGGGTGTTTGTATTTAGTAATAAAATAAAACTGACTCAAATGTGGTAACTAATTTTATAGATTTTGTTAGAGTCAATGCTAAAAAATGCCTAACCAACTCTCTTCTGATGTAATAAAGTAGGAGAAAAATTAATGTTTGTAAATTTGTGGTAATATTAATTTATGTACAGTATATACATAGTATATACAGTTAATATATTATATACAATTATAAAGGTCAAAACAATAAACATAATCTAAATGTCCACATATGTGTGGTAAATGCAAACCAGCTGAAACATACTGCATCACTGAAATTAACTGAGCATTTAGTCAAAAGATTCTTGGGCATATTGTTTAAACACTAAATCAGAATGAATACTATAGCTTGAAAACTTCTATAATTATAGTGCTTGGTTTTTCTCATATAGAAAAGCATAATAAATGTGGTCATTTATCAAAATACATTTTTCATGTTTTTAAAATTATCTTACTGATTTCTTCTAATATTACTCCCATGTTTGTAAATGCATTTAGTATTTGCATTACATTCTCATTTTAGAATTTAAAAAATAGTGTCCATTTTGTCCATACAATTTTATTCAACCCTAATTGACACAGCAGCACGCCTGCTTAGCTGATTGATGAAAGGAAATGAGAAGAAGGTTACTCTTCGTCAGAGATGTCTGGGAACAGTTAGTTCCCAGAGACGATTTTGGTATACTCATGGTATCCATCTCGAGAATCCAGAGCAGGGTGAGATAACTCAGGTTTGCCAACATGAAGCTTTAGCCACAGTGTTATAAAAGGCAGTTAATGAGATGACACTGTACTGTATGTGCCCTGATGAGGCAAACAGAATCGCTTTCCTCATTTGGTGAGGCACACCACGTTGTCAGAAATCCTTCCAGAGTTCAGGACCCTAGTGAACAGAGGGCTGAAAAGCAAATTCTAAACACAGATCACAGCAAAAGCAATAAAATAAATGAATGTATACTATTAATTTTTAAAATTAAGATCCTTTATTTTTATAAAGTATCAACTAGTAATGAGGCAAAATTATCAATTGAAATTATTTATTTTATGTGGGGGTGAGATTTAAAAAACTCTACTGTCCCGAAGAGTTCAAGAATTGTGATCCTCTGTGGTAATCTTAGTTACAGTATGTCTCAGAATCAAGAGCACTTCTTGCAACCTCTGAAAACCATACTGAGTGGAGTTGCAACTTTGCCTGAGGAGAAAGTCTGCCCCCTGCTGAGCCAACACAGGCACTGCACACACTACAGCAGCAAGCTCCAGTTCTTCCAGGTTTTCAGAGCCATTTTTGACTAACACTAATCTGACCCAGTGTTTCTTAGTCTTGGTCCTGTTAAATAATTTCAGCTCTTAATCAGTAAAACGTTATTAAGAATCAGAAACTTGTATGAATCCTGAATCAGACGTTAGGTTTCAGAACTCATTTATATTTATAATTATTTTTAATTGATCAGGTGGAATTGAATCAGTAAATCCCTGAATCATTTAGAATCCCTATTATGGGAGTGTCTGACACACACAGGTGGGTGTCATTCTCACCTGTTTCTGTACATTATTAACTGATAGACTGATTACAAATCTACAGGAGTGCGACAAATCTACAGGAGCTAAAACAGAAATTAATTGGCTTCTGGAAAATGGGCTCTGATGTGAGTACGTGCCATGCAATGAACTGGCATCTCATCCAGGGTGTACAGTGGTACCCTGGCCTTTCATCCATTTTCCAATCGTTGCAATTCCGGGTCTTGGTGCAGCCTGAGACTGCCCCAGCAAGCAACAGGCAAAAAGTTCCCCTGGATGAGAAGCCACCTGGGCCAATTTTCCCAAAAGCCAATTAACCTACAAGGATGTCTTTGGACTGTGAAACCTACACCAACACTGGGAGAACATTCAAACTCCAAAGAGATTAACACCCCAGGGCCTGAGCACTGCATGGCAGCAATACAAAGCACTGCACCACTGTGCCTCCTGAGGTGCAGGACCCAAAACCTAAACCATACCCATCTTATTTTATCCTTAAGGTTTATACAGAAATTTGCTGCTAGTATAGTCACTCTTCAGGATTCATTTTTTGCAGTGGTGCT